TGAGTAATTTTCGATGTTAACAAAGAATAAAAATAACTTTCCACCAAAAACTTTGAAAATTGTTTTACTCTTCAAAAAAATTGACAGTGGTTAACACCATAGTTGCGTAATTTATTGTATTGCAGACTTTTAAAATAAATCGTCGTATAACACGATGCTGTCTATTTATCATTTTAGCAAATTTTTTTCCGTAGTCCCCATTTAAGGAAAATGGGTAAAAAATGGTCAGGACTTCAAATCTGGATGTATTTTTTGATGCAAAACAACTTTTCTGAATAACATTTCCCGAGATTTTCCAAAATTACTTTATTCTTTTCTCAATACAGTTTTACTGTATTTTGTTGGTGCATGTTTAGTTTAGGAGATGCACAAGTTCTTATCAAGAATAACTTTTTGTCGAAAAACCCTTAATAAATAAGTTTCCCATATGGTGCATACTTTGAGGATGACATTGTATAATAAGTTGGTCCTACACTTCCGGGAGGTGCGACTTGTTTTGGGAAATTTCCTCATCTTTCTGAATCTTTTATTAAATTGGAAAAATGTCTTATACTTTTTGATATATTTGCTAAGAACCAAACCCCATCTTTACAAAACAATGAAATGCAATAATTATCAGGTATAAATTTCGCTTTTACTCCTAGTACCGGATTCATGAGCACTAACAACCACAAACCTTCTTCGGCTTGTCATTCTAGATGACTTCACCGAAATAACATAGTGTTTACAAGTCGGAACACATGTGCGATCATGAATGTGACACATTGACCTGGGAAGGCGACCTAACGGTTTCGTAAATACCTACATACCATCCTCGGATGGCGTAGGTCAGCACAGAAAATACACAATAAATCCCAAATGAGTAGACGCAGGATGCAGGTAGAAAATGATTGGCATCGATGTGAATGAACTCATTCAAAAGGTATACGCACCCGCACAGATGGTCTTTTCGTTCATTCATCTGATTCTTTACACTTCAGTCTTCAACATTTCAAAATTGTGTTTGTTTTCCAGGCAAGGGCAGAAGAGCCAGAAACTTCTACTTTTTGTTTTTCAAAAATTTCGACCTTAGCATTCGAATAGTCGCGTTGAATGTCAGCTATCCACATCCCTTTTCTATCCTCCTAGCTCAAAGAAATTTATCCAAAGTGTAGCCAACTGAACACTTTCAACTGTCGATTCACAGTTTTTAATTTAGCTCTCCAAAACCAAAGTTTTCAATCAATATTCAAGCGCCATCAGTTTTGATCAAAAACCTTCTGTCGCACAGTATTGCTACAGTAGAACACTTGTTTAGAGCAATGCAATGTTATGAAAACGTAGTAAAATAAATTTTCTACAACCAAAAAAAGGTATTTCGTTCACAACATCCAAGGTGAAAGACTGTTTCAAGTTTGATGCAACAACTAACCATTTTGAAAAAGTCAACAAAAATTTGTATGGTTCCAAAAATGTGGGCAAATCAAAATCCAGAAGAACCTCAAATTGGAAATGTGATTAAAGCATATAATAGTTAGGTAATATGTAATAAATCTACATTCTTCAAGTTTTTCTACAGCCATCTGATTTGGTCGAAAGAGCTTTTGCCGTACAGTATCGCTACGGTACCATTTCGGAAAAATCAACAAAAATATGTGTGGCTCCAGGAACATGGATAAAACAAAATCAAGAAGAACTGCAAATTGGAAATAAGATGATAGCGTATAATATGTTATAAATATACAGTCTTCAAGTTTTTCTAGTCATCTGATTTGGTCGAAAGAGCTTTTACCGTACAGTATCGCTACGGAACCATTTCGGACAAATCAACAAAAATATGTGCGGTTCCAGGAATATGGACAAAACGAAATCAAGAAGAATCGCTAATTGCAAATGTGATCAAAGTATATAATAGTTATTATGTTATAAATCTGCAGTCTTCAAGTTTTTCTAGGGTCATCTGATTTGGCCGAAAAAGCTTTTGCCGTACAGTATCGCTACGGTACCATTTCGGAAAAATCAACAAAAATATGTGTCGCTCCAGGAACATGGTTAAAACAAAATCAAGAAGAACTGCAAATTTGAAATAAGATGATAGCGTATAATATGTTATAAATATAAAGTCTTCAAGTTTTTCTAGTCATCTGATTTGACCGAAAAAACTTTTGCCGTACAGTATCGCTACGGAACCATTTTGGACAAATCAACAAAAATATGTGCGGTTCCAGGAATATGGACAAAACAAAATCAAGAAGAACTGCAAATTGGAAATAAGATGATAACGATGATGTTAACATGGTATAAATATACAGTCTTCAAGTATTTCTAGAGCCATCTGATTTGGCCGAAAAAACTTTTGCCGTACAATATTGTTACGGTTGAGAAATTGTTTAGAGCAATGAAATGTTATGACAACGTAGTTATATAAACAACCAAAAAAAGTATTTTGTTCACCAAATCTGAACTAAAAGACCGTTTTGAGTTCGATGCGACAACTAATCATTTCGAAAAAGTCAACAAAAATTTGTGTGGTTCCAGGAACACGAACGAAAGAAAATCAAGAAAAATGGCAAATTGAAAATGAGATTGTAGCGTATTATAGCTAACAGTTTTTATTCAAGTTCCTAGAGACATTATCTATTTTGGACCAAAAAACTTTTGCCGTACAGTATTGCTCAACCGCAGCAAAAAAATTTAACTATTAACAAAAGATGAAAATTCTTAATTATGATTCGGAGTTTAGTAAATGCATAACAATTGTGTGGTTCCAAGAATATGGACAAAATAAAATCAAGAAGAACTGGAAATTGGAAATGAGATTGTAGCATATATGTTATAAATCTATCGTTTTCAATGAACTTTCTAGGTCCATCTACTTTGACCAAAAAGGTTTTGCCGTACAGTATTACTACGGTTAAGTAACTGTTTATAGCAATGCCGTACAGTATTGCCGTACAGTATGCCGTACGTACATCATTGGTGTACAGTATTGCTACTGTCAAGTAACTGTTTAGAGCAATGAAATGTTATGAAAACGTGGTAAAAAACTTGCTACAACCAAAAAAGGTTATTTGTTCATAAAATTTGAAGTGAATGACTGTTTTGAGTTCGATGCGACAAATAATCATTTCGAAAAAGTCAATAAAAATTTGTGTGGTTCCAGGAATACGAACGAAACAAAATCAAGAAAAATTGCAAATTGACAATGAGATCGTAGCATATTATAGCTAACATGTTATGAATCTACAGTTTTTATTCAAGTTCCTAGAGACATTATCTATTTTGGACGAAAACGCTTTTGCCGTACAGTATTGCTCAACCGTAGCAATACTGTACGGATAAAAACTATTTTGAGTTCGATGCGACAACCAACCATCTCGAAAAAGTCAACAAAAATTTGTATTATTCCAGGATATTTACAATTACACTCTGGTGACACTGTTTATGTATTATCTATCATTAGAGCTTAGATTCAAATTGGAAGGGTATATTTTATTTCATTCAATCCCAGCCATAGGAATCTTGTTTTTGGGAGAGAAACTTCTGGCTTCCTAGTTCTCCATCTTCATGGGAATCTTCTAAAGAAAGAAAGAAAACAATCAATTTCACAATAAACTATAGAAAGGTATGTAGTTCATGCAAAGAAGTAAATTTCAGACACAAACTAGAAAAAACACTCCAGATGGAGAAGTAGAACGCGAAAACCTTCTTTCCAGAATCATCTTTCCTGAAATTGAACCCATTCAAATTTAAACAAGATTTCTATGGCTGGGATTGAAATCAAATAAGCAAATAAATTTACCAAAGTTTGATAGAATCACACCTAAAATATAGAATAGTCGGATGAGGAGGGGTTTCTAAAAAATATTCAAAGTCACTTGAAGTAACGCAAAAATGATTCCTAAGAATGATACTTTTCAAAAACAACAGATACGCGAGTGATGCTCGCTATGAAGGGTCTGAGTTTTTTTATATCAGACAAATATTCTTTTACCACATCGCTACAACTCAGTTCTTCAATAAGATCGAACTTATCTTACCTTTACTAAGAGACAAAAAAAATTATTATTCAGTACCTTTTGCTTCGAAATCAATAGGCCAAAAATTCTATCAATATTGAGCACTAAAAGTTTTTAATCTCCTTTCCGAAGCACTGTCAGTATTCAGATTCAAAAAAGATTTAAAACTATTAATAAAACAATCATCTCGTCATTATATACAGTCAATAATTGAAAGTAATTTTATATATTCATAATGTTATCCTAAGTGCACTCAGTACCTGTATAGGGGTATATTCGGGTGTTTTGAAATCCTGAAAGTTCATATTTTTCATCTCGATATTTATTATTCTACATCTTACATGTTCTCATTTTTATATATACTAAAAAAATTTGAAAGTGTTCTACATTATTAACACTTAAAAACGTTTGTCGGAAGGTGGTTGACAATGTTTCATTTGCATTTCAATAGTTCGGACTTTCATTGTCTAATATGATTTGGAATCCCAGAAAAAGAATCTGTAAAAATTAAAAAAGATTGGCTGAAAAATAACAATTATATCAAGCGAAAAAACTAAAATTACAATGAAACAAAATACAAGCAACAATCAAAAAGTTGAACTATTAACAAAAGATGAAAATTCTTACTAACTTACTTATTATTCAGAGTTTAGTTAATGCATTACAAATTCTTTATTAAATGTTAATGTGCTTGTCAATTTTTTTCATCAGTTCAATGAATACTCCACACTATGAATATTTTCCAGAATCTTTCATTAGTTCGCTTATTTTGATTTCAAAAATCCAGCGGTCTTTTATCAAATACAATTTGAAATCTCTGAAAACCATAATTGGCTTCTTTGCTCTAATTTGTCACCAATGCTCCAACGACTTACATTACAGCTACTCCGTATCATGTGTTGCCTATTCAGTGGCGCAAGACAAAACAACACAGCCGTCCTTCAAATTCCGAAGTATTCTAACAGATGGTAGCAGCTGACTTGAAAACTGCTGTCTTTTGTTGTACGCTTAAAATGGTGGCCTGTCAAAGTTGCAGCACGTATCTAGGGCGGGGAGATTAGTGTTCGGTACGATCTCGATTTCGTGTGAAAAAATTAATCGTATATTCGCGATTTGTTTTCGATTCCCTTAATCGGTTGAATTGACATTTAACGAAGACAATGCGTTTCTGGTAGTTGGCCTTGAGAATTTAATAAGTGCAAGTGTGTGTGCAAGATCGTAACTAAAGGTAAACAATACATTCTTCCTCTCTTTTCTACGTGCTGAATAATTTCATTAGAAGAAGGAAATTCTTTGATTAGTATTGGTGAAAATCATTTATATAGTTATTATGTTTTTGCAGTTCTGTATAAAATACAAAAAGCTTTAGTATTATTTTTCTTCGATTGTTCTCAAGGGTTGTTGATCAATGAAAAGTGTTTCATTTTCATGTAAGTATAGATTGTGAGCCCAGGTTTGTTACAAGATATTCAGTAGTTCTAAATAGAAAGTTTTTATCACATTTAGACAGTGGATATTAAGAGGTTCCAAGTTTCCTTTTACTTCTACTCGATCAATCACCATGCACGTCCACAGTTGGTAATTATCGAGGTAATTATATCAAAGGGGACAAATTACAGTACTCAAAATGTTTCAGAGATGGTGAACTTTTGAATAGCGGAAGAACGTGTGTGTATGTGGGAGTTACATAAAGACGTGTATGGGGATATGTTGACAAACATTAATGATAATATCCAGAAAGCTCAAAGTTCATGTGACTATTTCATGAGTTTTCATTTTAAGAAAACTCAAATCCAAACTTCGTTCCATTTACCTCTGTAGGTGTTTATTGATTGCTGACCAGTCAATGCTTTCAATTTTGATTAAGAATTGATTATCGCCGATATAGGATAATCACGTCTATCAATTGGACAAGAGGTAAGTACCATCCCGAAACGTGTTGTTCAACTTGCAGCAATCATTGACTCTCTGGGAGAGAACTTATTGTTAGTAAGTACTTATATCAGAGTAATAATTTGGAAACGCATTTCTCTGGTTGCCAAAGAAGCAACTATCATTAATAAGGACCAGCCGCCACTGGTCAACAGAAGAGGTCCAAGGTAGGTTTGTATTTTTATTTATGAAAGTTATATCCTAGCTTTCTAGAGAGAGAATGGTTACAAAACTTGGAGTTAGTGATTTTTCAGAATACTTTACACACACACATATATATATATATATATATATATATATATATATATATATATATATATATGTGTGTGTTTTTTAAAAACAAATTCATACTTCTGTTTGAAAGTGGTTGACAATAATGAAATTCATACTAGTGCGCACAAAAATCACAAAAATCTAGCAAAACTCTAAGTAACGTCTACAACGTAATTACAACACGCCTCATCACAGTACGCATGTCAAAAATTGATTTCTTAAAGTAAAGCCAGGGGTGGTTACCTTTGGTTAAGGTGTTTTTCAAAGCGATTTTCTCAGTCCCTACTTTTCTCCATCAAATTCCCCCTATTGTCCGTTGTGTTCAGATATACTCATAGATGCAGCTGAGGAATCCACGGAGGAGTGAAACCATTGATTTATGTTATATTGAAGGTCTTAATCTTAACAGGTTGATAAGGACGTGCACGCCTGCTATCGGTACGGATTACAGTGCTGTCAAATGTGTTTTTGGGCCAATTTGAAAGAAGACGAATCGTGGAATACGTATAAAATCATCCAGTTGCCGAAACTGACTACTCTTCAAGAGTAGAGTCAGATCACCTGTCACCTTCCCGACAAGTTTGAAGTGTTTACATAACAGAGTGTTACTTATTGGATGAAGGCTGTAAAATCATCAAGTGTTTCACTATTAATTTCCAGGAAAGATCATTACCCAGTATCCTCAGTGTACATACAATCCACAATGACGAATAATTTGCAACACCACCTTAGATGAATACTGAACAGCTCAACATCAACAACATTTTTGGTTTGGTTTCATCGAACTTGAACATTACTTACGTCAACACTCTAACTTGTACCAGTGTTTAGACCGCTCTTTAACATAGAGATCGTTCCATAAAAGTAGTCATTCATGGTTCTCTCTGAGGCTCATTTACCATCAAGACTGCTTTCCCCAGAGATCTATTTGTAAGGAATTACCAAAGATTTGTGTCGATTAATTTGTTGGATGGTAACCGTTACCAATATGTTTTGTTTTAATGGACTAACAAAGGGAGATTCTCAGAAACTTGTAATACCATTTCGAACCAGAAAGTTGTACACACTTCCTGAAAAGCGTAATGCTTTATGAGGCGCAAACCAAACCTTGAGAGTGCTAGATTCAATCCAGAAAAAACCATCTACTTGACTGAAGACTCATACATCTTAGCCTTGGACATCGAAAGAATGTTGGAGATTTATTTTAATGTAGACACAGGAAGTGTTCAACTGTCTCAACCCTTGTGTTTAATTGAATATGCCTGCTTCCCACCTCAGGAGTTATTTCAATGACTCCTTTCCATGATGAGGAAACCAAGGGAAAAAGCGCTGTCTGTAAGTTTAAAACGACGGTACACTCTAGGATTAGAAATCTTGAACGTAATTGAACGTTATCTCAAATATGTCACTAGGAGCAGTTATAGATCTGAAAACTTATGTTTGAATGCACTCAAATGCACCCATAACTGGGCGCAGTCGAGTCGAAAAAAGTGATGTAAGTTCAAAATATATTAATATAGATTATGGAGTGCCACAAGGATCGGTTTGGGACCCACTCTTTTTCTTGTCTATATAAATGATTTACTGTATATAAACACTTCTGAAAAAATTACCTTATTTGCAGACGATACCACCGTTTCATGGCATAGTAAAACTGTTGTAAAACTGAATAATAAGATAATCAGAGACATAAATGTTATCTAGTCTTGGTGCGACTCGAATCTTCTTTCTTTTAGTAAAAAAAAAACAAATATAGTAACTTTCAAATGTACTCTAGAATATATGCCTCTAGAAACTGAGAAGATTGAAAATAAAGATTGCACAAAATTTTTGAGCCTTAATATTGACAGTAAATTGAAGTTTGAAGCACACATCAACCAATTGAAGAATAAAATCTCCTCAGGGTGCTATGCAATGAGAATTATTTCAAAGGAACTTGGTACTGCCACGGCTATGAACGCATATTATGCATTGATTGAATGTCAACTGAGATATGCCATTCCTTTCTGGGGGGTATGTAACTCTAGTCTGCTAGATTCAGTACTTAAACTGCAAAAAACCGCCATTAGATATGTGTTCTAACTAGACAGTTATTTGCAGAGAAAAATATATTGACCGTTGTGGCTCTCTTTGTAATGAAAACTTTGTATCTTATACACATACATAGGTCAAAATTTGAATATATTTCTTCGTGTCATAGCACTCGCCAAAAGTCTAAAAATAATTTCAAATTACCATTGCCTTCTTCATCCCTAGTAAAGGACTCCGTTTTCTATAACGGTGTTAAAATGTATAACAACTTACCGTCTCATTTTAGAAAGAGCTAGGATAGTATTGACAGCTTTAGAAAATACACAAGAAAACTTCTCGCGAGCAGACCCTATTATAGTTTGCAATAATTTTACAATGACAACTTCCAGTGAAATTGTGAACTGTCATCTGTAATTTATTGCGGATACTGTATAGGATATTCGATTAGACTGTTAAATTATAAGTCGTAAAATTGACAAAATGTTCAAACAACATTTTATGATTGATATTTTATTTATTTATTGACACTTATTCTATTGAATGAAATGTAAAGTATAGTTGATAAATGTATATGTTTATATACTGCTTGTTTATATAACAATTTCATTTTTATTTTATTTTATTTATATTTTACATAATTGTGTGTATTTTGCCTAAATTTTATATCTCTACGTGTATATTTTACTTTGTCAACAAAACAAGAGTTTTTCGACAATAAAGTATATTTTGATTGATTGAGTAATTGATTAGGACTGGAGATTGTACTAAACAATGAATTGAAGTTGCACAAGCATGTCTCCTAGACACGCCTAAAGCCTTGAAACTCAGTTGATTCTGTGTGATGCACTGATTGTTTCAACTTATAATAGCTGTGATGTATCTCACCACTAGTTTTGAATGTATATCAGCAGCAAAGAATACAGAGAGTCTAAAATTGTGGTCTTCTTTCCTCTTGTCGACGAAAGATCTATCTGACACACCTTTCATAATGCTTGATGGTGTTTTCATAAAGTAATTCAAACTGAAACTGCTCCACATACGTACAATGAAATGAAATAAAGAACAGGTAACCAATATCAGACGTAAGAAGATCAATATTGCCAGACATAACACTGAATTATTGTCGCTAAGATATACTCGAACAAGGAGTGTTATTTCTGGAATTTTCACGTCACCTTATATTACCGATATATTTGTCAGCATTTTCACTTCCATGAAAAGACAAACTGTCTACGTTCTTCATATGCATTCATCGAAAAATATAATTTTGCAACTCTCACACTATACCTGTTGTTACGTGCTTGAAATAACTATCACGCGTCACATAATGTCATTAATAAATTTTAAATGTGTTGAGCATTTTGATAGAGACAGCACGTGTGTTTATTGTGCCAAGTTGGTGATTGTTCGGAAACCCCTCTAAATTCCGTGGCATTGTTTCGAAACGACAGTGTTGAATTGATTACATGGGAGTTTGTCATTCCGTTACGAGTTCTCGCGAAAATGGTATATTATTTTTTATTGTTATCGTTACATCACCAAATTCATTATTAACCCTAGGTCCACACACAGCAACATATATATTTATATGTAAGCAAGCGCTGTTGTAAGGATTAGAACTCTTAGACTTTCATTAACTTCAGTTTCAAAGGTGATCTGTGCGTGGAACATTATTTTGTCGTAAAATTTGGAGTAAAGAAAGTATTGGGGTGTAGTATCTAATGATAGTGTCGAGTCGAAGATGACGAATGATCAACCAGTACCAAATGAAGGGGAACAGGGTCCTGAAGAACAAACAGATGTGTCTAGTTCACCCCGGGAACCCCAAAAGTGATGGGGTGCAACCAGAACGGTAAATAGTATTGCACTCACCCTGGCGGAAAAATTGAAGTGTATATGTGTGATATGTGAATGTGTGTAAATGTGCTGAATAAGTGTAAAACATTTGAGGAGGTGATTCCTCATCGAAAAAAAGATAGGATCTTTCATATA